TAGGATCTGATGGACAAAGATGCAGAGACCTCCCTCAGGAGTGAAGGCACTGCTTGCAAGCCTTTCATATCTTCTTCAATTTAGAAGACTGTCTACATGCCTTTTTGCACCTTGTCCACAATGCCAGTGTGAGCTTTGTCCTGGCATGTACCTCTGCAGGATGCTTGCTTTTCCATCCTGTAACTAAATCTAATTGTAATTCTGGTTCAGGCCTCTCCTACTATAGCCAACCAAATCAAGAGGCAAATCAAGAGGCTGCTTGGATGTTAGAGAAAGGGTCTGGGAAACAAAAGCAGACAGCTCTTTACTCTGTCAGAGCAGTGACAGAGACAGATACATAAAAGAAAATGAGGGCCATGCAGGGGTGACGCGTAGGGGGTGCACATGGGTACATGTGCACCTCTTGAGCGTGGCGGTGCACCCCCTGCAAAAAGGTGCCACCACTGCTGCTGGCAGTGCCTGTGCATGGTTGCCGACCCCTGGTTGGCGCTCGCCACCCCACCCCCTCCGCTACTGCCAACAGTGCCAGCAGTGTCTGCAGGAGCTTTCCACTCACCGCTGCCATGCTCCTGCCACTGCCACTATGCTCCTGCTGTTGCCAGCGCAGCTGTGCCCCCCCAACCGCCAGGGGCACGCAACATTCATGGGGCCATGGCTGGGAAGCAATTTCACTTTGGGGTGAAGGTGACAGGCAGTGGCTAGTGTTAGAGATGGGGAAGAAGATTTAATTTGAGAGAGAACATGAAAGCAGTGATAGAGGAAGGAGAAAAGCTTTTCCTTATGGAGCAGTTACCATTCAGATCACAGGCAGCTTCAGGGAAATAGGGCCACCCTGAGTACATGATTTCCTTGAATGAGATGGTGTGATGGGGGAAGCATGAGACAGAGACAGAGACAGAGAGAGAATGGGTTGGAGGGTGGGGAGAGTAGGGATTCCCCAGGGATCTGGGGACAGCTGAGCCCCTGCTTCTATTGACCAGCCACGTGGGTGCCCAACTGCCCTGTAAACCTTTGGCCATCTCCCACTGCCAGCACAAACAAGTGTTATTGCCTCAGAATTAAATGTACAACAAGAATAAAGCCACAGCCCGCCCCCGCCCTGACCCACAGCCACCGCCAGCAGCAGTGGTGGCAGCCAGCGGGGGTTGTGGACTCACCGCCGACACCGCTGGCCAAGTTGG